ATTGCCAAAACTCATCTCTATTTATTGCTTAGTTTTCCAAAGTTGCCTTTTGGCATTTTCTCTTTGAGGATTAGATTGTTTTGGGAAGCTTGACATGAGAAATTGCTTTCCGTCAGCTCAAGGCTGGTGATTAAATTTGATATGCTTGGTTCTTTAGAAGTGACTCAGAAAATTTAGCAACAACGTAGGAAAAAATTGATCAAATACCACATATATGTAATGTATTTATTGTCAAAAATGTTTATATGAAAAGCCTTTTTACAGTTTCAAAATGTAGTATTTCTCAAGCCTGTAAATTGCCAAATTTTCCTACATAAAAAAATGTTATTGAATTTCAATTTGAGTGATTATTATACATAGCACTTCAAAGAGATTTTTAAAACTACTTCAGCAACAAAACTTCTTGGAGAATCCCGAGGACTATAGATGACCGATCAAATATCATCTCCAGATTTGGCCATCGTTTCGTTTCTTTTTTTCTCTCCAATTTATTCATTCTGCAAATAAAGCAAATTTTTTATTTTAGCTTACAGTTCGATCACCAACTTATACACTACTCTACTCGTAGCTTTAAGTTTTGGGGGCCGCGAATTTTCCTTAACAGTGGACCATAAGTGACGACGCTAATTTGATAGTTCGCAGTATGGACGAGCACGTGATCCACTACTAGGAAAGAAAATACGACGTGGAATGTTGCAAGAATCTAGAATCAAATTCACTGAAATCCTTGAAAGCCTCAAGGGAAATCTTCTATTTAACTTTTCAATATACCCTTTTCATTTTATAAGATTTTGAGTGAGGTTAAGAAAAAATGCCAATTTAAGTGATGACAAGAAGGTTGACACTAAGGTATGTGTATAGTATGGATGGAATTATCTTTAGAAGCAATCAAAAATCCAAATTTCAAATGCTTAGGGGATACATCATACTGCTTAATAACCTGAGATGATTGTTCATAATTAATACAGGATGGGTAAGTTGGCATGAATATGTATTTTGTTTCACTAAAAGTTTTAGTGGAAGGAATTCCAGTGACCTCTATAAAAATTTAATGTATATTTTTATCTTCTATTTTTGGCAGAACTTGAAGACATATTTTAGAAAATTCTTGAAATTGGCTGGAAAGTTCAGAAAAATCACAATGAAACTAATTAGTTGAAGATAAACACAAAACAGCACATGAAGGGCCCAAAACATAATGTACACCAGCCACTACAAAATATTTGAAATTTTACTTTTTAACAGCATTTGAAAATGTAGAAAAAATCTACCCTTACCATGTGATGTGACTTCTTACTGCCAAAATTTTCAGAAAATGAAAAAATCTACATTTTTATATCTCATGAGCAATTGAATTAATATCATGGAAAAAGTAAAAATGAACCTCATTCTGAATTTACCCAAATAATAATAGGTTTTCTTCTGTTTAAACACGAAGATAAAAACCCCCAAAAGAGAGTATTAGTGGATTGTCTACATGTTACATCGTTCTCCAAAAAACTGACAAACCATTAAAAAACGTAAAATACGGGTTTTAACATCAAAAATGTTTTTCTGTGTTGATTTCTTCTGCAAAGTAATTTTCAGAATTTTTACAGTCAATAAGAAAATTGATATTGCAATTTTGGGGGGTTTCACCAATTTTTTGCCAAGCATGAAAAGGAATTTAGATTTTTTACATTTATGCCTAAGCAGTAAAATGTGATCTCTCATATGCTAAGATTTCAACACGTATGTACACAGCCTGAAAAGTACTGTGATCATGTCTTCATCTCAGGGCCATATAAACTGCATATATTGAGCTGCAGAACTGTACATACAGTAAAATCTCATTACAACAAACTTTTGGGGACTGCAGAAAAAGTTTGTTATACTGTGTAAAGTTATTTTTAATTCAAGTACAGTATACATAATAATGTACTACAAAATAGACAAAAATGTGCACAGAGAACATACAAGACTCTTCTTACTATTACTGAAAAACCAGGCTGACTTTAGTGAGCAGTGTGCAGAATTTTTCCAAAGAAAACAGATCCAGAGTTTTTTTGCACAATTGACGCGTCTCGGGACGCGTCTCCAGCTGCAAGATATCCCTTTGACAGGGTCCTAAAAGTTTGAAACTTTACAATTCGGCAGAAACTGCCGACAATAAAAATACAAACCCACCCCTGGGCCAATGACTCCAGCTAGGGGGTCAAATGACCCCTCGTTCCCGCCGATTCCCCAGGAGTTCAACTACCCTATAAGGGGGGGAGACCAGACTTTGCCAGCTGCTGGTCATTTGACACTCCAAGATCATTTTTCGTTCTCATTTTTACAACCAAGAAAACATCTTCTCTGGTTCTTAAACAATTTGTCCCCGTCTCCCCAAACATGCGTAGCACTCCGACAATCCCGCCAAATTGAGAGAACACCCAGTTTTTGGGAGCCTAATTTTTTCCAAAAAAGACAAGTTTTAGTTTCTTGAAAAACACCAGCACCTGGTGTTTTTCGCCACCCCAGAACCCAGTTCCTGGGATACCCTGCAGGTACTTTTAACTCCTCCCCATTTTTTCAGAATAAAACCCCCTGATTTTTGAACCCAAGACACAGTCCGAATTTTGCGTGCGAAGCGTTATGTTGTGTTCTTGAAATTCGTATTTTCTGAAATATTTTACAAGTCCGCAAAAACTGTTGTGCATATTTTCCTGTCATAACTGTTGTGCATATTTATCTTGTTATACTTACTTGTCGATTTGAACAAAGGCTTGCGCTGTTTGGGAGAGAATCCCTGGTCAGTTCGTGCACCGGCCAATTGCTGTGTTGAATTTATTCTTAAATCTTCCATTTTTTACAAATTCTTCAGTTTACATCTGTCAGTTGATTTTCTTCTAAGGTGTTCTTGATCATACTCCATAAGTTACATCAATTATATTTATCAAGGTGTACGGCTTGGAAAACTTCTTCTTATAAAAACCGTACAAGCAGGTCTGGTTGAAATAAACTCAAGTCACTCAAATGCATACTAAAATAATGAAATACAGTATATGTGATGGTGACATTTAAGTCGTTTTGGAAGAATAAACAGGAGACACTTTTCCACACATGGCTGCACATAAAAGTGTCCTGCAACACATATACAGTATGTGGGTTTCAGATGATGAATAGTAACATCAAATGAAAATATAAAGTCATTCAATTTTTCAACGCCATGTATACATGTTATGTTTTCAGTTGTATGCAGATCTTACACCAGTTTGGCATGAAGTTGCGCCATCACAAGTTGCATGCTCATATTCACCCCCTTTTTGCATTACAGTGAAAGGAATAGTCTCAATATTGCACTAAAAATATCCTTACTTGGTAGTCTTCGGTCCACCTGACCTTGTAATTCGCAAATTCTTCCTTTCTTGGACTTATATTGGGTCAAGTTTGAAGAGATAAAACGACCCTGGACGCGTATTCGTTGACTCCTGTACTGGAATGCATAATATTTATTTTTCAATAAAATACGCATGCGTGTATTTTTCTCTATTAAATCACTATTATATTCAGGCGTGGAAGAAATTCACGAATGCTCTGAGAAAAAGTGACGTGAAATATTTTTCTAGGAAGTCGATTNAACTAATTAGTTGAAGATAAACACAAAACAGCACATGAAGGGCCCAAAACATAATGTACACCAGCCACTACAAAATATTTGAAATTTTACTTTTTAACAGCATTTGAAAATGTAGAAAAAATCTACCCTTACCATGTGATGTGACTTCTTACTGCCAAAATTTTCAGAAAATGAAAAAATCTACATTTTTATATCTCATGAGCAATTGAATTAATATCATGGAAAAAGTAAAAATGAACCTCATTCTGAATTTACCCAAATTTATTATCCAAAAGAAGACAAATTTGTGCTTCTATTTTTGGGGGTTTTCTCTCATAATCACCTAACAGATGTACAATGTAGCAAGAGGTTTTTTGACTGTTTGGTAATTTTTTGCATTTTATGCCCAATTAACATCAAAAATGTTTTTTCTGTGTTGTTTTCTTCTGAAAAGTAATTTTCAGAATGTTTTACAGGTAAGAAAAAAATGAAATTGCAATTTTGGGGGGTTTCATCAATTTTTTTCCAAGCATGAGAAGGAATTTAGATTTTTTACATTATGCATAAATGCAGTAAAATGTGATCTCTCATATGCTAAGATTTCAACACGTATGTACACAGCCTGAAAAGTACTGTAATCATGTCTTCATCTCAGGGCCATATAAACTGCATATATTGAGCTGCAGAACTGTACATACAGTAAAATCTTGTTACAACAAACTTTTGGGGACTGCAGAAAAAGTTTGTTATACTGTGTAAAGTTATTTTTAATTCAAGTACAGTACACATAATAATGTACTACAAAATAGACACAAATGTGCACAGAGAACATACAAGACTCTTCTTACTATTACTCAAAAACCAGGCTGACTTTAGTGAGCAGGTCTGGTTGAAATAAACTCAAGTCACTCAAATGCATACAAAAATAATGAAATACAGTACTGCATAAGTGATGGTGACATTTAATTCACTTTGGGAGAATAACAGGAGACAATTTTTCATACATGGCTGCATATAAAAGTGTATCTTACCAGTATACCACACATATATGCGGGTTTCATGATCAATAGTAACATCACATGAAAATATAAACTCATTCAATTTTTTAATGCCATGTACATGTTATGTTTTCAGTTGCATGCATATCTTAGACCAGTTTGGCATGAAGTTGCGCCATCACAAGTTGCATGCTTATGTTCACCCCCTTTTTGCATTACAGTGAAATGAATAGTCTCAATATTGTACTAAAAATATCCTTACTTGGTAGTCTTCGGTCCACCTGACTTTGTAATTCGCAAATTCTTCCTTTCTTGGACTTACATTGGGTCAAGTTTGAAGAGATAAAACGACCCTGGACGCGTATTCGTCGACTCCTGTACTGGAATGCATAATACTTATTTTTCAATAAAATACGCATGCGTGTATTTTTCTCTATTAAATCACTATTATATTCAGGCGTGGAAGAAATTCACGAATGCTCTGAGAAAAAGTGACGTGAAATATTTTTCTAGGAAGTCGATTCCGTCGAATTCAAATCATCAGACACGTGTTGAATATGATTGTTCTTCGTTTTCACTGTCTTCACTGTCGGCGTCGATTCTGTGCTTTTCAGTTTCGTCATTTCTGCTGTCCAACCTCGACAGGGACCTCAGCAGCACTCCAAACTCTTCTTTGTCCGATTCTGACATGGCTTTTTGTTCAACTGAATAATAAAATGAGCCAAAGAAGTTTAAATATCCGAAGTGTGATTAAAATTATCAAGAAAATGCCTGATACCCTTTTCCAACAATTTTTGACAGAAATACCGTACACACAGTAGAGTAGATGGTCATGTGAGGAAGAAACGAAGGAGCTGTTCATATCACCCACCATGACCATAGGAATGTCAGCTTATGGTACGGTTCAACAAATGCTTACTTGTGTTGATCCAGTCCTGTGCAGTTTCATAAGTCACTACTCCATCTGAGGTGAATCCTTTCAATGCTTTGTCAACAGGATGGGATACATTGACAAAAACTAAATCTCTTTGATTCAGTTTTAAGGATATTGCGACAGCACCCAGTCCTTTGGCTGCTGTGAAGTCAATGTCAACCAAGTTGATGCAGTCCACAACAATCAAGGAATCCTTATTGCGTTTTGCGCCTTTATTGATGAGGTTTCGCACCTTCTGGATGCCAGGGTAGAATAAAAATCGGTCTGGGCGGAATACCACTACCTTCGTATCGTCGGAAATCTGAAAATGATTGAATACATAGTTCTTGTCAAGTCACTTAACTTGAGGTAGGTAAAGTGACATCGGATGGAATAGGTACGCGAAAGTGTTTTTGTCTGGTACGGTACTTCATCAACCGAGCCAAGAATTGGCGCGCAGCATTTAGACACGTCAGAAAATCCCGTGAAGAACGGAATTCACGCCTGATTTCCGCGAAATTGGCTGCTTCTGAAGGCGTGCATTTCAGCGGAACAAAGAAGTTATGATGGCATCGGTATTCTAACATTAATATCCGCGTCTTTTGACTTTTCTCTCTATGAAATCGCGGCGGAAGAGCGCTACGTATACTACAGTAGTGTAGATTTTGGTCTTTGTCCGGGAGAACCATCTTTTAACCAATGCTCAGTATTGATCAACTACCGCTGTGTCTCAACTCTTCGGCCGCATCTTCAGTTTCGCTTTTCTATTTGAATTTCAGGTTTGACATTCGATAATGAACAAGTAATATGTGACGCTTCGAACGACGAGTGCTTCACCCGAAGTCTGGTCTATGTATACTGTATATAGACCGGTGAAAATTACAGGAAATCTTCGTGCGGGTCGATGTTCACTTGCGTATTGCTGTCTATAGACAAATAAGATCCTCTGCATGATGCCTCGCATCATGTGCATTTCGCTGGTTGTGGTATGCTTATACTTTGTGATCTTCCGGCGGTATGAACAATCGCGGCACAAGTGCCAACATCGCGATCTCGACCCAGCTGTTATGATCAACGTGTGTAAATGTTTTTCACCTGAAATTTGAGTGTGGGAACGTTCGGATGTGAAGTGACGATGAGCAGCATGAGCAAGTTCGACATGACACCAACCAGGAAGCCCCATTCAAGTCCAATCACCAAACAGGCCAAGAAGGTCACCATCATCGGAACCATGTCAACTCCTGCGGGTGAGTGCAATTTTGTTTTACAGCACATCCTGCATTGCACTATCCCGCCCCATTTTAACTGTGATTATGCACCAAAGCCACGTGTTGAATCCCGTCCTCAGAATTCAAATACACATTTACTGACGTTAGGATATTCATATATGAGAAACTTTTTCACGATACGCTTCTCTCGCGGGATCTTATTCTGCCGTGAACATTAGATGCGATGGAAAAGAAACAGGACGAGAATAATAACGTACGCTTCGTCTTCCAAACATCCATCGCTTCTTTGTACTCGATGAAATGAAGAACTGCGCAGATCACGATTGCTCCCAAAGCAGGCAACGGGATGTATCCAACGTACGGAGTCAAAAACGCCAACGAAAGCAACACAATCGTTCCTATATACCCAACACGTAAGCAAACCGATACTCTGTACATTGTTTCTGAGAATCAATCATTACTAATTATAGATGGAATTTACTTACCTGCCCAGATGCCGCCGAAGGTAGTCCTTACACCCGAAACCGCGTTGACGCAAGTTGTTGATATTGAACCTGTGACTGGCATCGAATGAACGAAGGCCCCGAGAACTTGACTCACTCCAAGTGCCACAAGTTCTTGATCCACGTCGACTGCTCTCCTCTGAGCTATACGAAGCAAATATTTCTTGTCAAATTTTCTGTTTCGAATTCGTTCTCGATCGTTTGCATTATTCAAGCGAAGAGTACGTCCACGTAAACAATTACAGCACACTGATTAATCCATGTATGTGTGACTTTATTGAGACTCACCGAAGGATTTGCACACTGCGATGTGCTCCACGATGGAAATCAGCGGAATGACGAAAACTGCTGATCCGCCGATTTGCAAAATTTGCAAAAATCCCCTTTCCGGCGCATCCTCTAAAACTTCATCAACCATTTCCGAACCGGCTGGCAAATTAAATGTTGGCAAACTGGGCATGGGTATTCCTCCGACTTTTATGTCATCTGCCATGAATTTTTCGACTCATTTTTAGAAATGAAAAATTATGTCGTAAAAATATTTCTTGCCAGTCAGTGATATGTTCCATGCTCCGGATTTCGCGTCCAGGAAAAATGCCAAAAGAGAGCAAGAAATTATGAGAAATCCGTTCCTGGCTGCGGAAACGACTTGAAGAATCTTGTTCAACTTTTCAGCGCATCCGGGAGCGAAAATTAAATTGCAGTCGAATCGTCGAATCTCCTGTTTTGACAAAGACATTTTGAAATATAATGTTTGAAGGAAATGGTGCGTGTGGGACTTGACGAAATTCTGAAGTTTTTGATAGTGATGTAACATGTGAGTATTATTTCGAATAAAAAATTGCATGCAAATGTTCGCGCATTCGGTCAAATTTTGAATGGATTGTCAATCTTAGTATTGAATAGCAATTTTTTCTCTGTTATTCATTTCAAAGGGTTAATATTTTACTTACGATATATTTTAAATCTTATGCTAGTGGAGATAAATTGAATAACTCACGCGTAAAATGAGCAAGACGACGATGCAGCAAGTTCCAAAAATTAAATCGTTCGGATTCGTTTTGTGAATTTTCCTGTATAGTCCGCTGAATAGAACTATCACGTTTTCGCCATGCATTCCATGGATCCCCAAAAGCGATTTAAGTTGGCTCACAACTATGATGACAGCAGCTGCTGAAATGAATCCTGCAGAAACTGGAGCTGACACAAACTCGACAATAATCCCTGTTTTGATGAAAAAAAAGAAGACATTTTTGCACCGGAAATATATCGAAGGAAATTAAGAGGTGCTGTTGAAGTACGTGACCAACCTGAAATGAAGATGACTGACTGTTGGCTACTGGTGTGCAGTTAATCTATCTTTTTTTTGCCTGAAAAGCTCCTTTTTTTAATGATCAATTCATTTGTTGATGCCCCTGAAAAAAGAAAATTTTGTGCCACTATAAATCATAATTTACAAATGAATCTTAGCTTTGGCCAAAAAAATATCACACTGCAGTATTTTACTTTCATTCCTTTAAAGCCAAACGCAATTATTCTGGAAAAAATATTTGTGTGCGTCTTTTTTGTTTTATCCTCAATTTAATCCAACTTATCCTTAGTATTTTTCTTGAGCATCCGCGGAGCCCCTGTAAAGTTCATGCGGAGCCCTGAACCTGAATGAAACACCGTTCGGAACCCATGTTCCCAAAAAAAGATTCAAATAATTTTCTATATATTTTTTCAGAAATGATAAGTATCTTCCAACAGGTGGGACCTCTATAGATAAATAAACAGTTCTAATAATTGGAAGTAAAATAATTTCCATGGATCATTAAGCAAAATTCCTCAAATCAGAAAGCTGTTTTTCAACATTTTAGATTCTCTTGAAAGAATTTCGCTTGTACAATACATCAAAACGTTTCTATTGGGGAAAAAGTATTGTATGTGAACATTTCAACAGAAATCTATTCCTTTAAAATAACTGCAGCTTATAAAAGTCCTCTCCTCATGTTTCTCACATTGAAAATTTCAATCAACCCACACAAATTAGGCCAGATCCCCAAACTCAAAAAATCACCCAATCAATTTCTCTAGAGTTCCTCTAAATTCAACTTGAAGAGGTCCATTTTTAAGAAGAATGAACCTCAACAAATTTATTGTTCAGAAGAAAATATGTGAACATTTCAACAGAAATATATTTGTTCAGAACAACTGCTACATTTTGGAGCCCCCTTCTCATGTTTTTGTGTGTGGAAATTTCAATGAACTTGATCAAATCAGGCCATCTTCCAAAACTCAAAAATCCCCTAGGTTTAGTCCATTTTTATACTTTTTTAAATGCAATTTAAACAAGTAAAATTGTACATTTAACTTGGTAAATATAATTTTTTGCAAATAAATATTCCCTGGAAATCCACCAACTCAATCAGGCACCAGCTTTAGAAGAAAAACCATCACACAGCTTACAGCTATAGTCAGGTCAGTCACATACTGAAACAGCACCAATTCGGTATTCTGCAACAAGCAAAGAAAAATTAAATTTTTTTTGCCTAGTTTGAAAGTGCCCAGGAACAAGGCGAATAGCCCAGAGATGAGGCACATGATGGTGGAGAAAACAATGCCGAATTCCACTGATTTCCCATAAGTCGCCCCTCCAGTCAGAATGCAGAGAACTGCTGCTGGGACAATGGTGATTTCCTTTGTTGTTCCCAAGAGGACGTAGACGAAGCCTCCCATGTAAGCAGAGTAGAAACCGTACTATGGTGAGGGAAAGCAAAAATAGCGTTGATGATTAATTGACGCGCGCAAAAAAAATAAAATATCAAATGAACAGCTACTTGAGATTCTGTGAGGATTCTGGAGAAGGGCAAGGAACTGCCACATTACAAAGAAGGGCATTCGATGGACCTTTGTACAGTAGAATCTTTTGAAAAAAAAAAAAAATCTGTCACCGGTGGACTCTACAACAAGATTCAAGGGACCAGAAAAAATTAATTTTTGAGAAGTTTTGTTGTTGTAGAGAAACCTGGTAACATGAACATAGAGCTCTATGGTCAGGCTGAAACAAAATTGTTATGCAGAGAAAATCATTGTAGGCAAGATTTTTGTAAAGAGTCCACCTGCATAAAAAAATAATTGCTTACAAAGATGTCATTTTTCCATGTCCTAGCCTTGGTGCCACGATGTTAATTAGTTACTGCAGTTTAATAAGAGTTTTTCATTTTAACAAAGCTATTTCACTAATCCAAATGGTTTTATTGTAACAAGATTTTATTGTATCCCAAATTATTGGCCAAAATGATTGAATGATTTTTTTTCTTAATTTCCAATAGCTACTATATATTATTTAAATGTTCTGTGTAAAATTGTGGTGACAGTTGGATTCTGTCACCAGAAGTCTTATCACAGATTTTGCATCTTGCTAAGGATTTTCAGGGCTACAGCAGTTTTTTTTTTATATGCACCATGTCTTTATAAATCCCATTTCAACAAAATTGTTTTCACCTGCCATCTAAGCACATATGGATCTTGTAAAAATAAATTATTCCTTATACAGTAATAAATTCATTTATTATGTTAATGCCAATAGCGGTAATATTTGAAATATTCTCTACTACAATAAATTAATTACGTATTTTAATAAAGCGTTTTTCCAGGACCCAACAGCTTTATTATAATAAAGTGTGCTCTTTTTTGATGATAATTATTACAGTTTATATGCGCTTAAAACCAGAAGTGGCAGTGTAACACTTTTAATTTACGAATTTTTTTTCAAGGTCTACAAGAGGTTTTGGACATTTAAACCCCCTCCAAGAAAGCTTTGAAAATACCAAGATATTTAGTCAACATAACTGGAACTTCCTCATGTCATTTTTTTTTTCAAGACCCTGTCTGAATTCCCAGAGAACAATGCATAAAAAACCATCTTTTCTCCAAGGGCTTTTCTGGTCAAACCTCTATAACTCAAAATTTATGGATACTTTTTGGCTATATCAATGACACAAGGAAGAAAAGCAAGAAAAATGTAACTTGATGCCTTTTTTTGAAAAGAATTAAAAGACTAATTGGTCAAACAAACCATTGCCTTCAACTTTAGCTTCTTGTCAACTCATTCAAGTAGCAATTTAAGGCCTAGAAAAAAACCAATTTAAATTTCCTGAAATTCTTGTTTATTTTCCCAAACAAGTTTTTTTCATTTGCTCAAAATTTCCCTAGCTTAATTTTCATTGGTTTCTTGAACATGCGGACTTCTCTGAACCCTAAAAGAAATTTTGCAAACATTCACCCAAATTCAAGTCAGTGCATCTTTAAAAAAAAGAAACTATTCAATTGAAGCGAAAATGAATTACTTTTCAAAATCCAGGCGTATTTTTTTGATCAATTCTGTCTCCGAAGCTCCAAGTTGTATAATGTAATACTAATTCAATTTTCGGACAATGGACTCATCACATAAACAAACTTGTAGTTCATTAATCGATACAGCGAAAAAAATAAATAAATAAAAAATTGACTCACTTCCGCTGGAAGATTCGCGAGTTCGGAAAACGCAATAACTTGTGGCACCAGTGTGAAACCCACTGTGAGTCCGGCGATCAAATCGCCCACGAAATCTTCCGCGGTGTATTTCGGTCCCCATGCCCAAAGCGGAAATTGCTTCTTCAATGCCCTTTCCGAGCAAAAATCCCTCGTCTGGAACTTCCTCATGTCATTTTTTTTTTCAAGACCCTGTCTGAATTCCCAGAGAACAATGCATAAAAAACCATCTTTTCTCCAAGGGCTTTTCTGGTCAAACCTCTATAACTCAAAATTTATGGATTCTTTTTGGCTATATCAATGACACAAGGAAGAAAAGCTATACAAATGTAACTTCATGCCTTTTTTGAAAAGAATTAAAAGACTAATTGGTCAAACAAACCATTGCCTTCAACTTTAGCTTCTTGTCGACTCATTCAAGTAGCAATTTAAAGCCTAGAAAAAAACCAATTTAAATTTCCTGAAATTTTTGTTTATTTTCCCAAACACGTTTTTTTCATTTGCTCAAAATTTCCCTAGCTTAATTTTTTGGTCCATTGAAATTTGACTCAAAGAGATTGGACTATCAAAAGAAAATGGTTTCTCGAAGATGCGGACTTTTCTGAACCCTAAAAGAAAATATGCAAACATCCAAATTCAGGTCAATGCATCTTTAAAAAAAATGAAACTATCCAATTGAAGCGAAAAGGAATTACTTTTCAAAATCCAGGCGCATTTTAGTAATCAATTCTGTCTTCAAAGCTCCAAGTTGTATAATGTAATACTAATTCAATTTTCGGACAATGGACTCATCACATATAACAAACTTGTAGTTCATTAATCGATACAGCGAAAAATGAATAAATAAATAAAAAATTGACTCACTTCCGCTGGAAGATTCGCGAGTTCGGAAAACGCAATAACTTGTGGTACCAGTGTGAAACCCACTGTGAGTCCGGCGATCAAATCGCCCACGAAATCTTCCGCGGTGTATTTCGGTCCCCATGCCCAAAGCGGAAATTGCTTCTTCAATGCCCTTTCCGAGCAAAAATCCCTCGCCTTTTTGCGGAAATACGCTCCTGTGCCGAACCCGGGTGCGATTTCTTGCTGGAATCTCGCTGCCAAAGCTGCGTGTTCTTTGCTGCCGGGTTCCGCACCCGCGAACGTCACGTCGGAAAATGACCGACCTGATGAAGAATTTTGTGTTCAATCTATTTTTAATTATAGTGAATATGAATGGGTGTCTTGAAAAAAAAAATGTGAGGAAATTTTACTGCGTACAGTGGCGACCTAATGGACATTCGTTCAATGTTGAATTTGTTGAAATGAATATTTTCCAGCATCATTTAAAGTTTTAAACGAATGAATGAATGAACAGAACACTTTATTTGCCGCTTTTCAGCGTTCACAAGGTACAATCAAGATTTCCACATCGAAACCCCCTCCCCACCCAACCCAAATCCCATCAAAGACATTCAATCACTTCAAAGCAGGAAACAAAGCACAAATTGATGACAAAAGTAAAAGAAAATACAATCCAGAAAATACAACTGGACATCTGACATGTATGCATACACCCACTCATTTCCTGACATTGAAAATAAAATAGCAGTAAAAGTTTATTTAAAGCACAAGGTCTTCAGCTTGTTTCTGTATGAGGTTTAGTTGAATGAACAATTTAGAGAGAATATTTTAAACAAATGCAAGAAAGTTTCACTACACAGTCATTGGCAAAAAAATCATCAATCTGATGGACATTTTTCTTTTCTGTTTTATTTTCAAGTTTTTTGAATATTGTAAATAGAATATTATTTGCGGTTTTGTGCAAATGTTTGTTGAATGTCAGTTAAGCAACCTGATGGAAATTCGTGCTTCCTTTTACATTTTTAATTTTTCAATTATGTCAGCATGTGAATGAATCAAATAATTTTAATGATGGAAATTACACCTTAATTGCTGCAAAATAGACAGCTTATTTATGGATTGAAATCTTGTCCTTGTTTGAACATGGCATTTGAATACAAAATTTATCAACTTTTCAAGGGTGTCAAGTGGTGTTATATCTGCAGTATAAATACAGTGGTAAATGCATTGCCAGAGCATTTTCTTTTCTTATGCCCAGCATTTCACAGCTGAAGAAATGAGCGTGAAAATATTTGGGACTCTTGAAATTCAATGAAAAGACTCTTTTTCAAAATCTGAGAGAACTTAGATAAACTATTAACTTTACACAATTTATCATCAAAGGTTCTCTCCAAATTTTTTAATCAAACTAAAACTTATCTGAAAGCACACTGAACACCTTGTGCTTTAATGTGTGTTCAATTATTGCCTGATGCTGCAATTCTCATCATTGATATTCTCTTTTTGCTGTTGAGGAGGGGAAGAAAGTGTATGCATGTACAGTATATCAGTTGTGCAATTGCATATTTTGGGATGTATTTTCTTTTTCTTCAGTAACAACTTATATCTCTATTTTTCCATTCTGATGCTATGGAATGTGTTTGGATGATTGTGGGTGGGGATGGAAGGGGGATGGGATATGGGAACATTGCTTGAACCTTGTGAACGCCGAAAAGCGGGAAATAAAGCTTTGCTTTTCAATTCAATTCAATGTGCCTCATATTCACATGTGTTGCTCTTTGTATTGTATCTTCTTTTATTTTTATTATCAATTTGTGCTTTTCTGCTCTGAAGTGATTAAAATGTCATTGAGTGGATTTGGGTTGGGTGAGAAGGGGGTTTGGTTGTGGGAATCTTGATTGAACCTTGTGAACGCTGAAAAGCGGCAATTAAAGTGTTCTGTTCATTCTGTTCATTCATTGAACCTTGTGAACACTGAAAAGCAGAAATTGAAGCTTGCTGATCAATCAATCAATTTTGTAGAAATATTTACCACACTTCATTTTTATATGCTGTAACACCTCTTTCAAAGTATAACTTTTCAAATTGTATATCCTTTTGCTCACCCATGTTTTCCAGTTCCATCTTGAAACTATATGCGAAAAGTTCCTGTGCCAAAAAAAAACATTTACACAAATATTATAAAATCAATGCCCGCCATTTAAAATTTTGGAAAACTGCGAGGAAAAAAAAAACTAGGTAAGCGTGTGCCCAGTGATGTTCAACTAAGGGGGCTTTGGAATAATCCCCAGAAAATACAGCCGAAACTTTCCCTGAGTTTCATCATGCAAATGACGGAATTATAATCATTCACATTATGCAGCATTACGTCATTATAGGACCTCGTACCGGAAACACGAGGAGAAAAAAAATCGAGTCCCTCGCTCTAAAAAATAAATAAATGAAAACCGGAATCGTTGCGAAAATCCTCCCTTTGCATTTTCATTCACTGGTCCAAAAAAATAATAATACGCAGGAGACAAGAAAAAAAACAACGGTAATGAGGAAAAAAAACAAGCTGAAATGAGGCCCTGAAATCGTGCTTTTAAAAATTCAAATTCCCGATATAGTTTTCAGAAATCAATCATTCGCGTCAACTGGTAACGTTGATTTCCACGTCTGGCATTTTTTTTCCCCCAGTTGATTCGGATTTAAAAAAACAAAAATGTCTTTCTCCAGAAAAGAAAATCACATTCTGACGTAAAAGTCTGGGTTCTTTGAAGAATCGGGGACTTCTTCGAGGGAATAATCCTCGTCCTCGTCGTCGTCTTCTTCGAGGGTTTGTGTCGAGGGTTTCCCATCGACACTAGTGTCGTTGGCACTGGCACACCGCAAATCTGCGTGAGATAAAGACCTTTTGAGTGCGCCCAAGTCTTCCACTGCATGTGGTGCCACAACAGCCACTATTTATCACAAACAAGGGAAAGAAACGAATGAAAAAAGTGATCTCATTATGACGTTTTTAGGCCATTTTTTTGCGGCTTAAAAAAAATTCAAATTTTAGGAAGAGGAGGAATTAAAGGAAGGCATTTTCAAGAATGCGTGTTCAAATTCAATTTCTCTTCGAAATAAACAAATGAATAATGTCTCCAGGCTTACGTGAAGGAAACAAAGCGACGTAGAATTACCTGAATAGAATTTTTTTTTCCAAATTTTGACAGCTCTCGCACGAAGTGAAGTTTTTGTGTGTAAAAAACATTCGTTCAGAAATGTTGGTAAAATGCCCGTATCAAGAAACTTTTTCGAAATGTTTTTGGGCAGATTTTCGAGTCATGAAGTGTCCCCGAGTCGAATCGTCCACATGTCGGGGCCCCTCAAAATTTTACACTAACAAGTACTGTACCGTATTTGCATTATGAATTAAAATACTGTACATTGAAATTATACTGAAATCAATTGGTAATTTTTTTTAACACAAAAAGCTAACTTTGTGCTAGAGCTGTCAAAATTTTTGAAAAAATTACAATTTCCATTCGTTTAGAAATGTTGGTAAAATGCCCGTTTCACGAAACTTTTTCCAGATGTTTCCGGACAGATTTTCGAGTCATCAAGTGTTCCCAAGTCGAATCGTCCACATGTCGGGACCCCTCAAAAGTGTAAATTAACAAGTGCAGTAAAATCTCGTTATAACGAACTCCTGGGGCCACAGAAAAAATTTCGCTATGACGAAAAATTCGTTGTAACGAGATTTGTTGTAACGGAATTCTACTATTTGCATTATGAATTAAAATATAGTGAAATTATACTGAAAATAATTGGTGAATTTTTGAACACAGAAAGCAAAAATTTGAAAAAAAATTTTCCATTCGTTTAGAAATATTGGTGAAGTACTGTATTCGTATCTCGAGACATTTTCAAGGGATTTTCGGGCAGATTTTCGAGTCATCAATAAGTGTCCCCAAGTCGAATCGTCCACATTTCGGGGTCCCTCAAAATTGTAAAATAACAAGTATTGTATTTGCATTATGAATTCAAATATAGTGAAATTAGGTTACGAGACAACTCACATAGCGACAACTCACACAGCGACAACTCACACAGCGACAACTCACACAGTGCGACAACTCACACAGCGACAACTCATATAGTGTTAAAATGTGTCCAATGCCCAGGTGTGGCTGGGCACCCCCAGCTTGTGAATTAAAATATAGTTAAATTATACTGAAAATAATCGGTGAATTTTTGAACACAGAAAGCCAAAATTTGAAAAACTTTAATTTCCATTAGTTTAGAAATGTTGGTGAAGTATTCGTATCTCGAGACATTTTCAGGGGATTTTCGGGCAGATTTTCGAGTCATCAAGTGTCCCCAAGTCGAATCGTCCGCATATCGGGGGCCCCTCAAAATTATAAAATAACGAGTATTGTATTTGCATTATGAATTAAAATATAGCGAAATTATACTGAAAATAATTGGTGAATTTTTGAACACAGAAAGCGGAAAATTTTGAAAAAAGAATTTCCATTTGTTTAGAAATGTTGGTGGAGTATTCGATCGTATCTCGAGACATCTTCGGGCAGATTTTCGAGTCATCAAGTGTCCCCAAGTCGAATCGTCCACATTTCGGGGTCCCTCAAAATTGTAAAGTAACAAATGCAGTATCGTATTTGCATTATGAATTAAAATACTGTATAGTGAAATTATACTGAAAATAATTGGATAATTTTTGAACACAGAAAGCAAAAATTCGAAAAAAAAAGAATTTCCATTTGTTTAGAAATGTTGGTGAAGTACAGTACAGTATTCGTATCTCGAGACATTTTCAGGGGATTTTCGAGTCATCAAGTGTCCCCGTCAGCTTAGCAGGCGTACAGCCCCCGGGGAGTTGCGACACGTAAATGTCATGTTAGTGCTCTGCTATTACTTCTTCTTCGTATAACATGTCATGTCATGACGTTATTGTATGCACAAGCTTAGGTTACCTGTGCAGTTTCGTAAATGACCACGTCGCCGAACGTGAAGTTCCTCAGTGCCTTGCTCACGGGGGCCGTGATATTGACAAACACGAGTCGCTGTTCCCGTTTTTGCAGTGCAGCTGCTATGGAACCCAGGCCCTTGGATCCCGTGAAGTCAATGTCCACCAGGTTGATGCAGTCCACCACGATCACGGCGTCCTTGTTGCGAATGGCGCCCTTGTTGATGAGGTTGCGGACCTTTTGGATCCCCGGGTAGAAGAGGAATCTGTCCGGACGGAATATCACCACTCGCATTTCGTCTGAAATCTACATTCGAGCGTGTCTCAAATCTTGCCTGGTTTTCTTGTCCAATGCGTACAAAATGATGTGAACAACAACAACAAGAAATACGTTGAGGGGGCCCCAACATGCGGACGATTCGACTTGGGGGGGACTCAGGGTACAACTTTAAGAAGAGAAAAAAATAATACCCGCCAAGATATGGGCACTTGATTCTATCCCCTTTCTTCAAAATTGACCTTTTGATCTGCTTTTTGAGCTACTTTATTTAATTTCAAGTTTTGATATCTCTTGAAAAAAATCCAGCTGCTGTATTTATATTCACAGAAATGAAAATTACATTTCAATTATGAATTTACTCTGATTCATAATCAAAAGCAGGCTGATACGGTGTCTCAAGATTTGGACACTTTTCCAATTCTTCCAAAGGGATTTTTTATTTTAGTTTTGACATCTCTTGAACAAATTGAGCTAATTTATTTAAATTCACAAAAATTAAAACTACATTTTATTATAAATTTACTCTGATTCATAATCAAAAACAGGCTAATATGGTGTCTCAAGATTTGCACACTTTTCCAATTCTTCCAAAGGGATTTTTTTATTCAAGTTTTACCACCTCTTGAAAAAATTGAGCTAGGTTATTTAAATTCACAAAAATTAAAAGTACATTTTATTATAAATTTACACTGATTCATAATCAAAAACAGGCTGATTGAATTTCTCAAGATAAGGACAATTTTAAGTACAGTATCTTCAAAATTGGATATTTTTCAAACATTTGATACTTCTTGGAAAAATTGAGCTTCTGCATTTATATTCACTGAAATAAAAAGTGCATTTCATTATAAATTTACTCTAATTCATAATTAAAAACAGGCTAATTTTGTACTTCTTTTTTAAAAGTTTTTTCCATCATCTGCGCCAGCATAGCAAGATTTGTTCTTGTTATTTGCTTCTTTAGGTCCTTTTTCTGCCAGAGAATCAGATTCTCTGTGGTTTTCTTCTGCACAGTTATTTTCTGCTTGTTCAAGTAGAGACATTTTTTTGGGGAATTTTTTCAATACTTTTGATGAACTGGAGAACCAATTGAATAATTTTCACATAAAGTCTAAGGGGGAAGACGTAATTCAAGATGTGGATGATCTGACATAGGGACAATGTTCAAGCACTAATTACGTCCGCATCTTGGGGCCCTACTGTAGATGAACACTCTAATGCCAACAAAGTTTTACAAACCCTGAATTTGAGGACTGGGACGCTGGGATTTGAGGTGACAATCAGCAACATGAGGAGATTGGACAAGACACCAACCAAAAATCCCCATTCCAAGCCAATCACCAGGCAGGAGAAGAAAGTGATGGCCAGAGGGATTGTGTCAGACCCTGAATGTATACAAAACAAGAAAAATCATTCACTAAAATTCTGTAATAAAATGTGGTGAAGTTTTCCAAGATCATGACGAGACAAGCATTTTAAATTAAGCTTGGAAATCAAAAGATTGAGACCAATTTATGTTTAATTTTTTGCAAAAAAATTAAATTCAGTCATCAATTTTCTTCATGTATCACATGAACAAAATTAATTTGGATAATATCCCTCAAGATGCGCAAAAATGTTCACCCTTGTTTGATGGCAAAAGGTGTCACAGGTTTTTCTGCTAAATTTCAAGCTGTCTCTGCAATGTTCCTGTCTTTACCAATTTTATCTGTACAGTATAATGAATTTTCTTTTGGTCCTTTATGGGCCTCAAACCAACTTGTATGGGTTCTCTACCATAAGATTATCTTAAAATGTTTTTTTCTCATCATCAGATTTTTGTTATAGTGAGAGCCCACCTCTACTCAGGTGACATCTACCTAAAGATTGTAGAAAATAAATTGAGGCATTGCATGTACAGGTAGCATGATCTTGCTCCTTGAGATCAAGAAATTATTCTAGGCTTACTCAATCTGATGTCCATTGCTCTTGAATGAGGATAAATTATGACTGCATTTTGAAATAGAAGGTTCCAATTGTAAATGTATCAATTTCTTGTTTTGTTTTGCTCAGCATTACTTTTATTGTATCCTTGAAAGTGTTGAAATAAAGTAAAGTCCACAAAACTGGACGTTTTTACTTTGTTATTCTTCTGCATGCATAAAAACTGCATTTTGGCTTATTTTCTGCCTCAATGCCTGAAATCTACAATCTGGAGACTTTCTTCTTTGCTAGAGAGGTGACATGACATGTAAATCAAACCCAGGAATGATGCTGAGGAAAATTTTGATCAGAGATTTTTTTCTGTTTGGATGTCAGGTGACATCTACCTGTCATTTAAAAAAAAACTACCCAACATCTTAATGGTAGAAATATGGATAGTGCCACATCCTGGTCATTAAAAATGTTGTGTACTTCACTGTTTCTATTCCTATTGCATTACAATAAATGAACAAAGAGTAGACTTGGAAATCCTTGCTTAAACTTTCAGGAAATTTAATTCAGTTATTTGCATTGTTTTATCTTGAATTTCATCTCAAGCTGCAAAATTTCTGCCAACATGGAGATTTGACAGGCTTTTGCCCTAACATTAAGTCATTTTGCTTGGTTAGGTTACCCCCTCTCTCACACTTCAAATTACTTCATTTCCTGTTGTGTTATGATATGTCACATGGATTTTAATGTGTGGGGAAGTTTATTCAAGATGTGCTCCTGGTTTGATTGATGATTCAACCTGACATCCCTACAATCTATAATGGAACTGGAAAAATATGCTCCTTGTTTAAATTCATGATTCATGCAATCCTGAGCTTTTCAGCATAAATGAGTAGAGATTACTTTTGGTTTTCCAAATATGGATGGCCTCCTCATATTCAATAAAGTGCAGGACTGCACAGATGACCACAGCTCCCAGTGCAGGTGAAGGAATGTAGCCCATGTAAGGAGTGAAAAAGGCCAGGGCTAACATAACCACAGAGCCTGTTGAAGTGACAAAGAGGGAAAACACCATCAGTTAACATTTACAATAAGCAGGGAAAGCTCAGTTAGTTGATGGCCTGACCTGCAAAAAGTCCACCAAGAGGAGTTCTTACGCCAGAAACAGCATTCACACAGCTGGTTGAGATGGATCCAGTAATTGGCATTGATCTGAAAAATGAGCTCACCAACTGGCTCATTCCCAGGGCAATCAGCTCCTGGTTCACATCCACTGCCTTTCTGTTGGCTAATCACACAAAATGGAGCATCAGTACACAATACTATCTGACAAATATTTTTTAATGCAATCTCTGGAAAGCTTCTGAAATCTGGAAAAAAGCCTTGCAGAGATGGATGCTCTCACCAAAGGACTTGCAAACAGCGACATGCTCCACAATGGCTATGAGTGGGATCACAAACATGGCTGAACCAGCTGCATGCACAATGTCAGTGAAATCCCTCTGAGGGACATTCACAACTTCCCCATCAACTGTCACATTCCCAGCAGGCAAGAAGAATTGAGGCAACATTGGACTTGGGATTCCACTCACTCTTATTTCATCTGCAAAAAAAAAAAATCATTGCTGCCATTTTTCATATTCATGGGCTTTAAACTCATTCATTACCTACACACTGCTTGTAGCCATCATGATTTTTGTAACTTTTTTGTATATTTTTCACATGAATGACCTTGAAAGTGCAATGTAATCTCATTGTAAGGAATCTTGTTTAAAAAAAAATTGCTTACAGCAAATTTGCTTTCAAGTTCCTCTGCAACTGCACCAATGTTATTTGAGTTTCTTTTGCGCCTCTATTTACAGATGTAAAGTTGAGGTTTCCTTGTTGAGGTTTAAAGTTCAAAAGTTGAAATCTTTTTTTCCCCTATTTTCCAGAAAAAGTGTAAGGTTTTACAACTTGGAATTATTTTTATCAAGCCTTACACCTTGATTGTTTCAGCAGAGTTTCAAAAGGTAAAGAGTTTCAAATTTGGATTAATTAAATCAAACGTGGCACCCCAGTTTTGGGGATTTTCTTTCTTATCTCTTGTTTGTTTTGGCGCATCTCGGGATGTGCCGATTAAATTACATTTTTGGCTTCGTCTTGGCGCCCTTCTCACTTTTGCACACCCCATTTTTGGGGATCTTCTTTGTATTGTCAGTGTTTCCGCGCATTCAAAAATGCACGGATTGAAATACAAGTCGGCTCATTTCTTTTTGGCTTCAATTTTCAAAAGGAGCCATCAGAAAAATTTTGTACAAAAAGTTCTCACATTATTTTAAAATTTGTAGCTTTTTAAAAAATAAGAAAGATGAAATGTGTAAAGTTTCAATTGACATCAAATTCTGTCAAAACTTCAAAGTTTGGTATTTGGCACAATGCGCTAAAATTGGCAAAATGGAAAAAAAATTGAAAAGCAAGAATGTATGATTTCCACTTCAGCTCAACCATAATTTTTCTTCTCTACATTCAAATTTTAATTCAATGAACCAGATAACAAACAGAGGCATTACTTATTGAATTTTTCATTATAAACAAAGCTAATTCACTGATCTCAACAGCGTTGTTGTAAAAAGATTTTATTTTATTTTAGGTGAAAGTTATAAGATGTTAATGCTGCATGATTGACTATTAAAGTTTAACTTACTAACAATGAGGTAGTCAGCAAAAGCTAGAGAAGCTTGGGGAGGATGTTGAAACTCTTTTCTTTTTGTGTGTGTGTTTGAATTTCATAAATAATTGGATCTTAATAAATGAGATCACATGGCAATTTCCTGAAAGATTGTAATTGAAGGTTTCAAAAAAAGAAGAGAACTGCTTTAAACATTTGGAAGTAATGTACTGTAGTACAAGGGTTGGTTCATAAGTTTTAAGAATTTTTTTAAATAGAACCCACTGCATTCCCACTGTAAAAAAAATTAGTCTTTATGCAAGCGTTTTGGCATTGTTTTGATTGTTACACTTATTGCATTGAAATTGGCGGAGGAAATGAGGGGGTTATTTGAGAAAAATTTTTTCAATATTTGAAACTCATCAGTTGGATTTATTTCAAAAAGTCTCAAAACTTGAGAGCCAACCCTTGTATAATCTGTTCACCTGTCAAAGTGATCCCCCATTTGCCAGATTTTGCGTCCCAAATATAGGCAGCAATTGAGCACAACATGATCAAGAAGACATTCCTGGCAGCTGACAGCACATGCATTATCTGCGACACCTTCTTGGCTATTTCGGGACTGAAACACCAGGCCCATTGAACTCTCCTGATTTCCTGAAAAATAAAGAAGACATGAAATTTTTTGGTTACAATGCAACAGAAACAGAAAAAGCTTACAAGCCTTCAAAGGTAAAAAAACAAACATCCTCCTCCTCCTCCTCCTCACAAATGCGTTGTCATTCAACCCAGAGAATTTCATTGTTAGCCTCAGGGACTCGTCGGGAAAAGGGGGATTTTTTTTATATGGAAAAGATTTCTTGTGAAATAGAATACAATGCTTTGAACGCTTTTCCAGGAAGTGGCTCTTAAACTAAGCCGGTTTTTTTTATCACAGCTTTCAAACTCCACGCCTCTTATCATTATTATTATTATTATTCTGTTCACGATAACCTAGGTTTTTCTTCCGGGCGCAAGAATCTGAAATAGAATGTTTTCTTCTGCAATGCCATACATTTTAATATTTATCTCATGAAAAGCGTATTATTATATTTGTAAACACAGAAATCTCAATACTTTACTCGATTAATTTCTTCGTTTCTTTTTAAGAGAGAGACAGAGATTATCTTTTGAAAAATGAAATTTTTTTGAGATGAGATTGTTGATTTTGCAACCGAAAGCAATTTTCAGTGTAAAAAAAAATGTATAATTCGGCGAAGTTTGTTTGCATTCACGGTTTGATTTCAAAACTTTCTTCTTCATACCTAATTAAAAAATAACTACTGTACTAATTTCAAAATCGATATTTTCTTCGGTGTAATGCGATTTTTTTTTTAAATTTGCAACATACCTTTTTCCATAGAGCAAATGAGGGTTTTTAATACGGGAAACTTCATGAAGTATTTACTTCAAATAAAACGTCAATACTCAATTTGATTCCTACTGGAACGAAAAATAAAGAGGTAATATTTTCCTATGGGATGCGTTTCTTTTGAGGCATTCAAAAATTCCTTTTCAAAAATCAATCAAAAAAATTTATCATAAATTTGGGAAAGTTAATTTATTTACCAGAAAATTACAATCCTCCATTTAATTCCTTCTAAAAATGAAATCATTTTTTGACATAAAAACAACACTGCACTTTCATCTGTGAGACACAATATTTTATTTTTGAGCACAAAAAATTTTCCCAATAAATTGATTTTAAAATAAAAAATGTAAAAATTTACTAAAAAATGAAATTTTTGTTACCACAAAGTCGTTGAGACCAGTTATATGGCTTCTTTGCTACGAAGAAAATCTTTATGAAAAAACGCATTTAAAATAGGGGCTAATGGACAGGGACCACAAAAAAAGAATTCGATGTAAGCAATCATCCGGTATAACGAGCTTCGTTGTAAAAAAAATATTACATTCCAATAATTTCACTTCAAAAAAATGTTTTCATGCCCCCCCCCCCCCCACCCCTTCAAGTTTTGTGGCAACTCGATTCGACACGCGCCTACAAAATGCAAAAAAAAAAACCAATCTCGAAACCCCGCTGGTTGCTTGCCGACCACGAACCGAAGCAATGGTGCAAAGAAAATCTTTCCACAACTTACAAGAAGAAGGATATAGAAAAAAAATGTTTCAAAGAGCTGGGGGCAAAAAATGGGGTGGGGGGCGAAACCAGCAGCGGAACAAATGCGAATAAATAAATAAATAAATAAATAAATAACTAGGATCAAGTGAATAAATAAAATAAAATAAATTAAATTAAATGGAGAGACGAACCCTGAGGGCGATGAGGAAGACGATGCAGACTAGCCCCAGGCCCAGGTCCTCGAGGTTCGTGCTGCCGATGCGACGATACAGGCCCCGTATGAGCTCGATGGCGTCCTCGCCGTGCATCCCGGTCAGGCCCAGGATGGACTTGAACTGGCTCATCACGATGATGATGGCCGCCGCTGATATGAAGCCCGCCGACACCGGCGCCGACACAAACTCCACAACCACCCCTTTTTTGTTGTTTTGTTGTTGTTGTTGTGATGAAAGTCAAAGTTATTCGACATGTCATGTTTGGAAGAAGAAAAAAAAAAGAAGAAGGAAACACACTGATTACACGGTACGGTCAACCCTCGATTTACTTGCACCCTTGCCATTTTGCTCAAAATAATTTGTACTGTATTTGAAAACGATTATTTGTCAATTGGGTTCTTCCAAGGGAAGATCTAATTTAATTGAAACTCAAACTCCACAACCACCCCTTTTTGTTGTTGTTGTTGTTGTTGTTGTGATGAAAGACGTAGTTATTCAACAACAAAAAAAGAAACACACCGACTACACGGTACTGTCAACCCTCGATTTACTGACACCCTTGCCATTGTGCAAAAAAGAATTTTATCTGAAGACGAGTATTTCTCAATTGGGTTCTTTCGAGGGAAAATAAAATTTAATTCAAACTCAAACTCCACAACAACCGCTTCATTTTTTGTTATTTTTCTTCACAAAAGTCAACGTTATTCAGCATATCATTGGAAGAAAGAAAAAAGGAAACACACCGACTACACAGTAAGGTCAACCCTCGATTTACTGACACCCTTGCCATTGTGCGAAAAATAATTTTACGTGAAAACGATTATTTCTCAATTGGGTTCTTTTGATGGAAAATCAAATTTAATTCCACAACAACCCCTTCATTTTTTTTATCAAGGTAAAAGTTATTCAACATATCATGGAAGAAACAAGAAAAACAAAGACTGTACTGTAGAGTCAACCTTTGATTGACTGACACCCTTGCATAGTGCAACAAATAAATTTTTCCCCCTGAAAATGAGTTTTTCTCAATCGAGTTCTTTACAGGGTAAATCCAATTTAATTCCATCTCCAACTCCACAGCAAACCCTTCATTTTTTGTGTTTTTTCTTCATGAAAGTCGAAGTTATTCAACATTCCATTGGAAGAAAAAGAAAAAGAAAAAAACACACCGACTACACGATACAGTCAACCCTCGATTTACTGACACCCTTTCATTGAGCAAAAAAGAATTTTATCTGAAAACGATTATTTCTCAAATGGGTTCTTGCAAGGGAAAATAAAATTTAATTCCAACTTGAACTCCACAACAACCCCCTTCGTTTTTTCATGAAGGGAAAATTTATTTGACATATCATGGAAGAAACCAGAAAAAAAAGACTGTACTGTAGAGTCAACCTTTGATTGACTGACACCCTTGCATAGTGCAACACATAATTTATCTGAAAATGAGTATTTATCAATTGGGTTCTTTCAATGGAAAATCAAATTGAATGCCAACTCAAACTCCAAATTTCACACACTATTCATCTGGCTAGGGTGTCATATTTAGGGTTACAAAATGTGCCTGGACAAATGATGTCAATAAATCAAGTTTCAGCTGTTCATTATTTCAAAATATTTTAGTGTCACCAGCAACCTTTTTTGAGACCCCTCCTCATATTTTCAGCTTTAAAAATATCATAATAATGTAGACAAGAAAAGAAAAAAACTCACCTAGTTTGAAGATGCCCATGAGCAGGGAGAAGATCCCAGTAAACATGCAAAGTATGGTGGACAAAGCCACTGCAAAAGCTGTTGACTTTTTGTAAGTGGCATTTCCAATCAGGATACAAATGACTGCTGCTGGTACAATTGTGATTTCTTTTGTTGTCCCGAACAATATGTACACAAATCCACCCATGTATGCTGCATACAATCCATACTTGAGGTGGGTCAGCCAAGGCCAAGACAAAAGAAAAGAAACAAGACAAAAAGCATTGGCCATCAGAAAATATTTCATCAATGTCCTTTTGAAGTGCAGATTCTTGCACTTGAACGACATAAACCTCCCCAAGTCAAACATAGTGCCATTTTTTCTGAATCTCTGTCTCAACATTTTTAATAATGATAATGCATTTTAGACTTCCTTGGCTCAAAGACATACCAAAACCCTCAATGCAGTAATTTGAATTTTCTTGAGGGCTTTTTTGGTGACTCAGAAAAGAGAAAAGCATTGTAACAACTTCTTGTTCTCTCAAAACAAAGTGATGAGTCACTGATTGGAAAAATGAACCTTGGTCTCAAAGAGCAGCTCAGCATCCTGTCAACTCATTTAAGAAGCAATTCAAGGCAATTCTTCCAAAAATAGCTTGCATCTTTTATTTGGGTTTTTATTTACTGGGCTTTATCTTTCTTCATTGCTCTTTTAAATGCCTCTGAAAGGAAATAATCAAAAGTAAATCTAAAAAGAGGATGCAAAAAACCCATTGAAGGAAAGTAGGGAGTAAGATCCAATTAGGGAGTCTGAAATGAAATAATGTCTTTCAAATGAAAGTGAATCTAAAGTTTATATCTAAAATATATGATTAAAATAATTGTTGGAAAAAATAGGGAGTAACATTCAACAATGTTGGACAAAAAAATATCTGGTTCAAGAAATAAGTTGCATCTGTTAATTTTTTTTTAGCAAAAGAGAATTTCCTCCATGAAGTTTAGTGAAAACCCAGGTTTTGGTTCACCTACTTCCTTCTGGAACTGTTTTTTTTTGTTGCTGTTGAAAATTTTACCCAAAAGTCTACAGGAATTTGAATCCAAACCTAGTCAAATTGTTGCCAATACTCACTTCAGCAGGAAGGTTTGCCAGCTCAGAAAAGGCAATGACCTGGGGAACCAGGGTCAGGCCGACGGTTATGCCAGCAATGAGGTCACCTAGAAAGTCTCCCCTCGAGTACTTTTTCAGCCAGGTCAAGAGGGGCAATTTCCTGCGCAGAGTTTTCTCGGTGCAACACGAGGCTGCGCATTTGGAGCAGTAGGCTTTTGTGCAGCACCCGGGTTCCACTTCGTATTCCAGGCTCTGCTCGTGCAACCCATTCCCGTTTGGCACGCCATTCGTTTCCACGTGTGTGAACGTGGTTGCCGAAAACGATCGACCTATTCCAGAGGGAGGAAAAAAAACACATTTTTTGCACACACAAAAAAATCATTAGCCCAGTCATTAAATAATCATCAATCATTAAATAAAATGATTAAAAATAATATAAATGAAATATTATAATATATAAATAAAATATTATAATATATAAATGAAATATTATATTATATGAATAAAATATTATTAATATAATTATGAATAAAATATTATAAATATGATTATGAATAAAATATTATAAAAATAATTATGAATAAAATATAATAAATATAATTATAGATAAAATTAATGAATAAAAATAATCATTAATCATTAAGGCGTGAATTTGCAGATCCCTTGGAATTTTACTGAAAGAAGTTCAACTGTATTGTGCAGTACTACAATGTAGAAGTAAATATTTTCTTGTTTGAAAGCGATGGAGAAATTGAAAGTGTTCATTAGCCCAGGAAATTTCTGATGCCTTGAACCTCCCTTATATACGAGGGTTCTAACAAAAGTTCTCGGAATGAAAATGGCGTCTAAAAGAACTGAAAAAAAAATTATTCTCTAGGGCAAACATATTCTTCGGCACAAAAAAAAAATCAGCCCTGTTTGACAATTTTTTTTAATGTTTTTCAAAATTCACCCTGGCAGAGTTTTGCTATCCACTCAACAGATGAGGCGCCCTTCCTGCAGTTTTTTTTAGCCAAGCTTTTCCCTTTTTTGCAGCCCAGCTTCCCCCTCAGAATTCTTGAAATCAATGTGGCAGTAATTCCAAGGGTTGCCTTGGAAATTAGTAGCCTGCAGTTTTCCTTCGAAAAAAAGATCAATTTGCGTGACAAAAAAATGTATCTCTTGATTCCACTATTTGCTCACAGATTTTTTTTCACAGTATTGAGAAAGAAAAAAACTATTTTTTGAGGACATTATTCTCGTCAGGATTTCTCAAGTAACACATTTGAAGATCGTGTTTGTCTCGGAAAAGTTGGGTTATACTGTACAGTACTAAATTTTTGAATTTCCTCTGCACTGAACCTCTGAATCTCAAGCTAATTATCAGCAATATTTTATATTTTTCAGGAGACAATTTATTCGCTGAAGTTTTCGTATTTTGCTGCGAAAATAATCACGGGAAATAATTCGTGAAAAAACGTGCTTTAATTTCCGTAAATTCACTATAACGGATTCTTCATCTCTCTCTCTCGTTTTATGGAAATTAGCAGCATGCAGTTTCCATTCGAAAAACGATCACTTCGACTGATTTTATTCCCCGACAATGACCTGCAAAAATTACGGTACACGAGATTCATCTGCACCGAAGGTCTGATCATGCATCAGTGTTTTTCTGATAACATCGGATCATCGCTCTGGACAAAGACAGAGAGAGAAAGAAAAAAAAGGGGCGATTGACAAGATTTCTTCCACGAGAATCAACAAGAATTGGTTGGGGAGAAAGAAAGAAAGAAAAAAAAAACAGAGGAAAAGATCAAGTTTTCCAAGGGATATATACCATAAAGATAAGGAAGTGATGAAGCAACAGTTTCCTCGCGACCGTCAACATAAACCATTAAAAAGAAAGAAAAGTCTTAGGTGCGATTTCCTCAAGTTTCCCCATTCAATTTAATTTCCCAATTCCCGAAAAATAAACTACAGTTTGTTTATCTTGGGCACTTTTTCATCCGAATTTATTTAGGCTTTTCTTCGACCTGATTTATATATAAGGAGAAGGCATTTTTTAAATCATTCGGAGATTGATCTGAAATTGCAAGAAATTAGCGGAATTTTGAGTTGACTTTTTTCGTCCAGAAATTTTGTGTACTCGAAAACTTTTTTTTTTTTCATCGATGGGAAAATTGATAACTTTTTTCAGAAATGCTGGGGTTTTCCACCGGAAATATTTATTAAATCGAGGAAATTCGAATTTCCGTCTTGGCTACTTCTTCGTGAGAAAATTTTGACGCTTTTTTCAACCTGATTTCAGATGAGAAGGAATTTTTCATCCTTCAGAGATTGAGCTGAAATTTTAAGGAAATTAGTAGAATTTTCGAGTTGATTTTTTTTTCATCGAGGAATTTCTGTTGAAAAATGTTTGCACCGATTGGAGAAATGAACCAATTTTCGAAAATGCTGGGCTTTTATTCCTGCAGTATTTATAAAATCGAAGAAATTTAAATTTCCGTCTTGACCATCACTTCTTCATCTGAAATTCAAAATTTTGACGCTGTTTTTCAACCTGATTTCTCGTGAGAAGGAATTTTGAATTTTTTGGAGTTGAAATTTTAAGAAATTAGCGGAATTCTGAATTTATTTATTTTTCATTTATAGGAATTTGTATTCAACTTTTTTTGTATTGATGAAAAAGTGGAAAAATTTTCAGAAATGCTGGTTTTTCAGTTCTGCATTATTTCTAATATCGAGGAAATTCGAATTTCCGACCTGGAAACTTCTTCATCTCAAATTGAAATTATCGCCACTTTTTTCAACCTTAGTTATACTGAGAAGGAATTTTTGTATCCTTCGGAGATTAAGCTGAAATTGAGAGAAATTAGCAGAATTCTTAGTTAATTTTATTTTGCATCAAGGAATTTGTAATCAAATAAAAAAATGTGCATTTATGGGAAAGTGAGAAAAAAATTTCAGGGACGCTAGGCTTTTATTCCTAAAATATTTCTAAAATCGAGGAAATTCGAATTTCCGGTCTGGCCACTTCTTCGTTTGAAATTGAAATTATTGACGCTTTTTTCAACCTGATTTCTCATGCGAAGGAATTATGCAATTTTTGGAGCTGAAATTGTAAAAAATAACGGAATTCTGAGTTGATTTTTTTTCTCGAGGGATTTTATTTTCAAAAATTGTTTCGCATCGATGGGAAAAGTGAAAAAAAAATTTCAAGAATGCTGGGCTTTTATTCCTAAAATATTTTCAAAATGGAGGAAATTTTAATTTCCGTTCTGGCCACTTCTGCATCCGAAATTGAAATTATTGACACTTTTTTCAACCTGATTTCCAAAGAGAAGGAATTTTGCATCCTTCGGAGATTGATCTGAAATTGCAAGAAATTAGCAAAATTTTGAATTTTTTATTTTGTATCTAGGAATTTTGTTTTTAAATATTTTTTTGCATCAATGGGAAATGTGAGAATAATTTTCAGAAATGCTGTGCTTTTATTCCTACAATATTTCTAAAATCTCTCAGAAATTTGAATTTCCGTCTTGGTCTCTTCTTCGTATGAAATCACTGACGCTTATTTTTTAAAACCTGATTCAAAAGGAATTTTCTTTTGATGAAAATTTCAGATAAACCCTCCGCCGATTGAGAAACTACGCGAATTGCGCAATGTTTTTACGTCCCTGACGAATTTCTGGCGAAAAATCGGGAAGAATATGACTTATTCTTATGAGAAATTTCTGCGAAACTAATTCATACTGTTCGCAATTTTTTTTTTGTCTACATGACGAATTTTTTGTGTGCGAAGAATCGGGAAAAGTGTGGCTTTTTATGAGGACTTTCTGCCAAATGAATTCTTCCTGTTTGTGCTACGTAACCATTTATTTATTCTCAGGAGAAAAAAAAATAGGTAAACACGGAATGAAGAGGAAATTTGCAGAGAATATCAGGGTTTTATGGCGAAATTCGAGAGATTTGCAACACTTTTTTTTATTTTGCCCCTCGCTGATTGGATTCTGGGACTTATATTGATTGAACTCGTTCTTTTCATCACCAAGAAATCAGTTGCAATTTTCTAAGAAATGCAATTATCCCGACAATGTTTTTGAGGAGGTATAAATTTTGCGTGAAAATAATGTACTGCGGAATTTTTATATCTATGCGATTAAACAAAAAATATATCTTTGGAAGATCAGAAATTTCGATAAATTAGCGGAATTCCTGAGTTGATTTTCTTTTGCATCTAGGAATTCGTATTAAAAATCTTTTTTTGGATCGATTGGAAAAGTGAAAAAAAATTGCGGAAATGCTGGGCATATTTATTCGAACAATATTTTTGAAACCAAGGAAATTCGAATTTCCAATTATACCGAAGTAAGACAACAAGTTTCCTTTCGCGACAGAAAAATTAAATAAATGACAAAAAGTTCTTGGGATTCCAATTTCTTCGCGATTATTTTTTGCAGTGATCCGATGAATTGAGTTGGACTGCAATTGGCACAAAAATAAGGTTAGGTTTTTACAGGGTGAATTTGAAAGGAGTTTAAGGTTTTTCGTTTTTTTTCCCGGAATCCGTAAAAAAAAAATGTTTATCTTTTCACAGAATGTTCTCTGGTTGCAAAATTTCGGCCTTCGAATAAAGAAAGGAGCATTTATCTGCTGAAAGTACGAATGCATTCAGTCCCAAAGACACCGCATGAGGAAATATTCCCACCTAGGTTTTTTTGTTTTTGTTTTCATTCGAGATTTTGTTTATTGCCAACATTTCCGTTTAAAAATTGCGAAATTATTTTCCTTCTTCATGCAGAAAAAAAAAATCGCGTTCTAAACGAAGAAAATGCTCTTTTTTAAAGCTGGAATGACGTAAGATTTGCTCAAGGATTCCAATGGATCAAATAAATTTCTGCGACCAAAAATGAGTTTAATAAACTTTTTCATTTTATACATTTTAGCTGAAATATGTTTTCTTTTTTCACACGCAGCGACATTCGTTTTTTTTATATGGAATAAAGGCATAGTGAAAGACTAGAATGTAAACGTTGTACCGCAAATTATTTTTAAAACTATTATTTAGAATTTGCTTTACTTTTGACAAAATGTTTTTCAAAAAATATGGAAACGGAGAAAATAATCTTTCAGCTAACTGAACAGTGAGGGAATTAATAATGGATAATTACCGAATAGTGTTTTTCGTTAAATTCAACGAGAAAAAGAGCATGGACAAATTTTGCGAAATTCAAGAATAAATTTGAATATTTAATCTTTCCGAGTTAATTTTACTCAGGGATTATTTCTGGCATTTTAATCACATGTTCCATTAGTTTGGCATGAGTTTAAAAGAAAACTCGTTTTTTATGCTTGACGGAAAACAAAAGTTTTTTTTAAATAATTTTACATACTGTATTAGCATTCAATTTGTATCGAATATTTTGGCAAAACTCACCGAGATTTTGCAGCTCCATCGACGACCAGCAAGCTGGAGCTCGTCACTGTCGAAAGCACACGATTTTCATTCATGAAAACATAATTGAAAAAAAAATTGATGTGATCATTAGAAACAAACGTAGAAAATGATTTCATCCAAATGTTTCTCAAAGCACCATACAAAAAATAAGTTTCTCGCGAAATCCAAAACGCGTATGGAAAATTCCACTCGAAAATATCGCCGCCAAAAAAAATGAATGGGGCCGTAAATTCACTCATTTGGCACACAGTCAATTTTTAAAAAACTCAATACAGTATTCAGGATTGTCATGTTTGATTACGTCAAAAAAGAATCTGAAGTCTTTTTGCTAAATTATAGAAAACGAGGTGATGCGAAAAAATGCCTCTTTTCTCTGCATCCCCCAAAGAAAGGCATCCTGATTTAATCCCAAGTGTTTCTTTCGCGCAAATATTTTGTGTGCCAAAAAAAAAAATGTTTGAAATTTGCACCCAAAAATTTAAAGGCGAAAAATCTGGCGATCTGCTCGACAACGAAGTGTAGCAAATACTATGATTAAAAATATCATAACCTAAGGATTCAAAACCCGGAATTTTCTTTTTAAAAAATTAAGTTTTCTTTTATGTCGAAAAAGAATCTGGTCATTTTGCTAAATTATAGAAAACGAGGTGATGCGAAAAAATGCCTCTTTTCTTTGAATCCCCCCAAGAAAGGCATCCTAATTTTATTCCTAACGTTTCTTTCGCGCAAATATTTTGCGTGCCAAAAAAAATGTTTGAAATTTGCACCCAAAAATTTAAAGGCGAAAAACTGTAGCAAAAAAATAAATAAAAATATTCCTTGCATCAGGATTAATGCACCTGCTCGAAACATTAAAAACAAAAATTTCATGTCAAAAATGAATCTGAAGTCGTTTGGCTAAATTGGAAAACTAGGTGATTCGAAAAAGGCCTCTTCTCTGAATTCCCAAATTCATTCCAGACGTTTCTTTCGCGCAAATATTTTGTGTACCAAAAAAAAAGATGTTTGAAATTTGCAACCAAAAATTTAAATGCGTAAACCTTTGTGATCTGCTCGACCACAAAGTGTAGCAAAAAATAAATAAAAATATTCTTTACATCTGAATTCAAAACCTGGAATTTTTTCTCGAGAAGTTTCAAGGTTTTTTTTTTTTGTGTGTCAAAAATGAATCTGAAGTTGTTCGGCTAAATTGGAAACCGAGGTGATTCGAAAAATGCCTCTTCTCTGAATTCTCAAATGAAGGCATCCCACATTTTATTCCAGACGTTTCTTTCGCGCAAATATTTTCTGTGCCAAAACAAAAAAAGAATGTTTAAAATTTGCAACCAAAAATGTATAGGCGAAAATCTTGGCGATCTGCTCGACCACAAAAGTGCGTAGCAAAGAAAAAAATACAAATAAAAATATTCCTTACATCAGGATTCAAAACCTGGAATTTTCTCGAAACATTAAAAAACAAATTTCTTTGTCAAAAATGAAAATGAATCTGACGTTGTGTGGCTAAATTGGAAAACAAGGTGATTTGAAGTCGTTTGGCTAAATTTTAAACCGAGGTGATTCGAAAAAGGCCTCTTCTCTGAATTCTCAAATGAAGGCATCCCACATTTTATTCCAGACGTTTCTTTCGCGCAAATATTTTGTGTGCCAAAAAAAAAAGAATGTTTGAAATTTGCAACCAAAAATGTATAGGCGAAAATCTTGGCGATTTTCTCGACCACAAAGTGCGTAGCAAAAAAAAAGAAAATACAAATAAAAATATTCCTTACATCTGGATTCAAAACCTGGAATTTTTTTTTCTCGAGAACAATTTTTCTCAGTTCTCTATACTCAACCCTCATCTCGAACAGATAAATTTCTCTCGAGTCGTTCGTCGCGTGTTTGAACTTTTACTTGAAAACACCCAGTTGCCGCTAGGATTTCTACTTTCTGTCCTTTTTTTACAATTTTTCTTTGTCTTTTATCCCCTCCCTCCCTTTCTTTTGTTTTATTTTTTTGCACAGTTTTGATTCACTTCGCCGCAGTCGGTTCTTGAAGAAAATTCCGCGAGGAATTTCTTTCTTTTGTTTGCGATGCGCTCGACCAACAGCGACAGAGAAGATGGAAGAAAAGATTCATTTCTTCTTTCAAAATGAAGGAAATTTATGAAATTGTTCCTTCGGGAGATTCCTTTGGTCCAAGATGAAAATAAGTTTCGTGTGACAAATACTTTTTTTTAGCAGTGAATTCTCCGCGTGGCGCCAGAAACAAATTCGCGCTAATGCAAGAAAATTGCGAGATTTCAAGATTGAAAGCCTACATTGAAAGCAAATGATTTCATACATTTCAACATTTTTTTGTGCAAGGAAATGAACCTGAACATTAATCCTGTATTGTGAAGTTTAAAAAAACTTTTGAATTCAATGTTGCTGAACTCATTTCTTGTTTCTGTGAGTGTGCAAAATATTCATTGCAAGGTTTCCTCTTGTCAGAATATGAATTGAATACAGTGAAATATCATCACAACAAACTTGTGGGAACTTCAGAAAAATGTTGTTATCACAAGATTTTGAAAATGATTGACTGATTGAAAGATGTTTTTTAATTTATACTAAATATCTTTCTCTTACATTTTTTTCTTTTGAATTATACTAAATACTAAATATCTTCCTTCTGTGGTCTTTCCAGATATTTTTCAGTGTTAAAAAAAATCGTGATTTTCAAAAAAGGAGATTTAATTGTTGATAAAGAAAAACATTTATTCTGAATAACAGGTGAGCACTAGAACTTTTTCTTGACTCTTACATTTTTCTAAGCAATTCCTGTTTTTGTGCTAAATTGTTATCTTGAGATTTTTATGAGTCAACTTGAACGAATATTTATCTGAATTCGGCGCTGAATTGAAAGACGAAAAAAAAGGATTTATTTCGGCGTGCGTATTTTTCGTTTATTGCACAAATATTTCAGCAGTTTAATTTTCAGCGAAATAACAAACGTTTCGGAATTCAAATCCGGAAGCACGAATCCATTTTTGCACACCTCTTATGCGGGCAAATATTGTGGTTTTAAAAAATTTATGCTTCAGTGGAAAAAAATTTCTGGTTTTCGGCACTGAAGAAATGCGAAATACGAAGATTACATTTCGATCGGCGTATTTTTCATCTATTACGCAGATTTTAGCATTGTAACTTTGAGAAATAAACCTCTCAACATCCCGTAATTTCAAGTACGAAAATTGGAATTGAATTTTGCTCGCCTTTCTGTGCAAAATCGTAGTCCCAAGCTTCAGAAGCGTTAGGTCGAAAAATTCAAGTCTGATTTTCGACCATTACAGTAAAATTTTAGTAATTATTTTGCAAATTGTATTTTTTTCGTCCAGCACGCAAATTTTTAGCGGTGTAATTTTGGGAAATAAACCTCGCAGTCGCATTTCTTCAAGTCAGACAATTACAATTTTATTGTCACCTACTTATTTTGTGCAGAATTTCTTTCCCAAATCTAGGCATTAGTTTAAAAAATATGAATCAGATTTTCGGCTCGCCATAAAAATTCGTAGAACTAGCATTAATTTTAAAATTTTATGCTTCCAAATATATTTTTCTGCTTTTAGCAGTTCCGGCAAATCAGAGATTTCAAGTTCGAAAATTAAAAATTCGATTTTATACACATCTTGTATTTCAAAATCTTTTGCATGAATCAGTTAAAAAGTATCTGTAAATTATTTTTTTTCGGCCCTCCATTAAAATTTTTGAATCAAGCGTCGTTTTCTCAAATTTATTTTCTCATATAACGAGCAGATTTTGGCTCTTGAAAAAAATGAACGTCCCGTAATTCCAAGTTTAAAAATTAACATTTAATTTCGTTTGCCAATTTTTTTTGCAAAATCGTGATTTGCAGGTTTGTATTCTTCTGTTGAAGAGATTCGCATACAACATAAATGTGATTTATGACTTATATTCATGAAATTATTAAAAATAAAGATTACTTCATGAAAACATTTTTTTCATATTATTGTATTCGAAGATTTTAGCAGTTTAAAGAAAAAGCTGAACTCTTCCAAATTTCAAACCCAAAAATGAGAGTTCAATTTCTCTGCACCTTAAAAAAAACCTAGAAATCGTGATCCTTTAGTTTTCCAAAGTCCATTTCCATTTTTCCATGTGGAAAAACAAATCAGGTGTCCATTTTTTTTTTTGCCCAGAAAAAAGTGGGCCAAAAGCGAGGCCGGATTTTACTTTTCAGCGCAGAGGTTGACAGCGTGAAAATGAGATGGAATCTGTTTTCGAGGTCACTTTTCCCTCAAGCAAAGAAGGAAAACCTATTGTGTTTCTTCTTGGTGCTGTTTTCCTTTATTTATTTTTTTTTTCGCCGAGTTCTTCCTGACCCGATCTGAAGTGAGATGAATTCGCTTCGAGTTTTTGGTTCAGCTTGAGTGTCTACTTTTTTAAGCATTTTTTTTTTATTTGAAGAAAGCTGCAGTCTACGGTTAAACTGTGCTGTGACGAATCGATGTTTCGGTCAAGTCAGCATTTTTGTGGAAAAATTTCTATTTATCATTTTGGTGGACAAAGTGAGTAATTTGCAGGAGTGGGAAAAATAAATTCGCGATATCTTGGAAACGAACAGAAGAAGTTTTCCTTCTTTACAAAATATCATTCAGGTTTTCAATGCGTTACAACACTTACGAAAAGTCTGGGATATTTTGGACCGATCTTGTTTTAAAAAATAAAGACAAATATAGTGAGAACCCGAGATGCGGATGTAATTGGTGCTTGAACAGTGTCCCTAAGTCGGAATGTCCGCATGTCAGGTCTCATTTTCCCATAGACTTCAATGGGAACTCATTTGAGTGGTTCTCCAATTGATGAAAAATTGGGTAAAAATTCCAAAAAATCAAATGAAATGTGTTTCTCAACTTGAGATATGGAACATATCTATTCATAATGAAGAAACCCACACCGAATATGACCCTCTAGTATGAAAAGATCTCAAAAATACCAACATGAAGTAAAGTCTTGCTATCCTGTGCTACAAAAAATCTGCACAAAATGAACCTGTTTAT